ACTTTTTCCCTGTGCCATTCCACATTATTACAAATAACTTCATTTCTGGACATTTATGTCCCATTTTGATTTCTTTGTATATATGGATCACTTGGGTTGTTACCAACATCTGGTGAAAATTTCATGTCATTACCACCTCTAGTAATATATTTACTGAGAAAAATGTTGACGTGTTCAATACTTATTTTACCCGCTGTAGCTGTCACAGTAAAAACAAATATTAAAAAAAAAACTACCTATATATTTGCTGTAACATGTATAAGCTCAAAGCATGATGTTTTTCAAACATAAGAGGAGCCCTTTAACTCTGTGAAGCTAAAGGTTGTTCTCCGCAGGATGTCAGCTCTCTTGGATTTCCTCCTGTGCTGCATCGTCATTCAGATCAATGCGTTCTTTCACATTATTTCACAGGGTACATGGTGTTTTTCAGCAGACTCCAGACACACACAGCGGACTTTGATAACAGGCGTCACACAAAAACAACCAGCTTTGACTTCACATCTTGGACTAATCTCTGGAGAACGTTTCTGTGACAGACTTTCAAAGAGCTGATGTTCTCTAGTGGTCTGCCTCCTTAGAGCTGCATTTTCTGTCTCAAACCAAAAAAAAAWWAAAAAAAAACATCCCCTGGGATCAATCTGTAGCTAAGAGCAAAAAACATAATATATATAGCTGACAGAAATTGTGTGGACTTGTAATGCACAGTAAAGATACAAAAACAAGGTTTATGTCGGACATCTAGACACTTTCTTTTTAATGGGGTGGGGGGGTATTATGCAAAATTTATTTTTTGGAGCTTTATAACACATTATAACATATTTTCTTCATTAAAAAAACCTACCCATAGTGTTGTTTTGACTCATTCATGCTTGCTTGAGAAATCTTTGAATCTCCTGTGGTAGCCATGTGGGGCTGCCTAAAYGCTTGCTGGTACAAATCACTGCCTATTTACACAAAGCTCCTCCCTGTAGCTCAGTCCCTGGCCCAGCTCCCTCCCCACACAGCACCCCTCCCCCAAAGCATTGTTGAAAAGATGTGCTGAAGTGGGAGTGTCGAAAACTGCAGGAGTTTCTTAAAGAGACACGGAGTTTAGATGCTAACCCAAATTTATTTTTGATACATACAGATTTTTCATGACAACTGAAGATAACATAGTTTTTTGATTGTAGTATAGAATTAAAYACATAATATCCACCTTTTAACTTTAAAGGAAACAAACTGGGACAGTGTTTGTTTGATGATTACGTTAAAACATTTCWTTTGATTCATGCAAATGATAAATAAGTACAAATAAATAAAACACTGTGTATGTTTCTGTTTCTTTGATAGAGATTGTAAGAAAGAATTCTACTGGTGAAATAAGCAGCATGGATTTCTATGAAAAGCTATGTACAGTTGAATAAACGAAAGGCTTATGCTGTAGCACACTGTGTGCAGAACCAATGTGCTTTGCAGTTAATTCAAGCAGTGACATTATAGATATGCAAAAAGCTTGAAAAACACACCAGGTTGTGACTCCTGATTTTTGTTTAACGAATAGACAAATTGAGGCTTTTTTAAGAACAAGAATGTTGTCCTTTCTTCAGTTTGTGGTGCACARTGGTCACTGCCCTGACTAGCCATGCCAAAGAAAACACAAACTGCTGACTTTGATAACAGGAGGTATTCTGACCCTATCTGTGAGCATTCTGTCAAGACGAACATGAAATGAGAAGTTTAAAATCCCACATGCATGAAGTATTTACAAAAATAAACAAATAATAAAAGAAATAATGTGATGTTTGGTCAGCTTTACATGTAGGAGATGTTCCTTTTGTTCATGCAGGTGTTGTAACAAGTAGCTGAGGGAATGAAAAAAAGATTGGGATGGAGTGGGGTATGTGTTGGTACACAT